TCCAGTCCAGGATTTTTCCCCAGGAGAGCAAACAGCATTTGTGATGAGCAGTAGTCACAAATGTAATTTATACTGTGCATGCAACAATGGAAGGAGTGGGGGTTTTTGCACAGAAAGAGCAGCATAGAGCCACACAAACTGCAAAAAAATAAATCACTAAAGTTTCTTTGGAGGCCTTAGAACTAATGCATTGTCCCACACACTCCACAATATTGTAACATGATGGGAAACTTATTCAAATGAAGCCTGTAAAGAGGTCCCCAAATGTCAAAGACCTAAGGGAAACATCTCATTTGTTTCTAATAGATGGAAGAGCATTGCAATTTAAGACAGCTTGCATCTCACAACACTTAAGTGTATGACAGTTCTGGTGGGTGTTGATGGAGTACCTGAGAATATTTTACTGTCCCCTGCAGTAGTCTTGCCTAGATCCAATAGAAAGGCTGAGAATGTGACAAAAACTAGAATAAAACTATTCACCAATGCCAAAAAAGCATTTGGACTCCAGAATGAATCCTGAAGTGATGTGTTTTGTGAAGACACCATGTTTTTAAGGGCAAGTTTTCTTTTTAACAGAAACATGTTATCAGTTATTCAAAAATTATATTGCATATTGTATAAAAGAAGGAAGCCAGAGTAAAACTGTCCTAGTGTTTTGAGATGTTCCTTATCAAGGAAAGATGAAGTTTACTGAACTGCATAGAGCAGCCTAAGACACAGTTCTCTCCTTTTGTGGCTTTACTTCAAATAAAAATGAATGGAATCAGTGTGGCCTTTCCTACCCAACTCTGAATGTCAGCTCCTTTAAATTAAATAGTACAGAATTGTAGAATTTTCTTTATCTGCTTACATTTTTCAGTACAGCAACAAAAGGCCCTAATTTTCCTGGGAGGGAAAGGAACTATAGCTTTTTTAAAAACCCAGATATCCCTCTATAATATCATTTTTAGAGTTTATTTTGAACAACTCTCCCTGGAAAAGAAAAGTCACTTAAATAGCCAGGCAGAGAAGTAGATGAATATTAGGTGACTAAAGACAATGCTCAAGGAAGCCTTTGTCCTGCACATGGATTCTTAATCTGTTGGTATGTCACACTAATACATGGTAGCAGCAGGAATTGAGGAAGGTGCCAGTAGAAGGGAAGTCAAAGGAGAGAAAATCACAGCTGCTAAGAGACACTGCTTTATTTTCTCTAAATAATCTTTAGGTATAGTTAAATGTTGTCATTGGTATTTTTATCCTGAAATCTTGAACCATATTGAAACAATATTTTATTCCAAGTATAAGAGAAAAGAGGGTTTCTTGTGATGGGTAGCAGTCCTTTAGAAGATCAAGTCTACTCCTCATGCAGGTGAGGTATCTCCATTGACTTTGACAGAATTTTAGCCACTCATGCTGATAAAACACTTTACTACTGCTATTTAAAAGTTCAGTAACAAAATGATAAACAGAATAGATGACTTTAGTTTTACATTTGAAAACTGAGAAATTGATAATAATGATTTTCCCAGGATTGATACTGACTGAGTCTACACTCAGTCAGTACTGGATGACTGGATGACTAGATGAAATTATGGCTAGACTAGATGAAGTCACATTCCCAAATATGCTCTTGGGAAGCCTAAGGCCTGGATTTAGAGACACAGTGAGGGTGAAAATGTGCAAGCTATATGAGAGTGTCAGAGTGGAGTTTCAGTTTTGCTGAACTTTTGACCAAAGGGAGAGAACATGAAATACATGACAGCAATAATTGGGAGAATATTTCTGTGTTAGGGAAGGATCAGTGACCACTAATGGAGTGAGGAATAAAGGCACAGCTGTAATTGAGACCTGAAGAATGAATAAACAGTCATGAAATTCAACTTTCTGTTTAGTCCAGGCAAGTTTGAATCCCAAAAGAAGGAAATTAAAGACACTAGATATCAGAGAAGCAGAAAGAAATTAAGCAGAGGGCACATAGTTTAAAATATTTTATAAAGCATATAACTAATCTGTGGAAACCCTTTTGGAAAATACAGCAATTAGAAAGCTTAGTAAGAACAACAGTCAACATTTATATTAGCAGGTGTGCAGTTCAAAGTTCAGAAAAAAATATTTAAGCTTTCATAAACCAGCCTATCACTGACAGGAGAGTTCCCTTAAGGCCTGATTATTGCTTATTTATAACTTTATTAGTTATAATTACAAAGTCTGATTTAGCTTGTTGAATCTGAAAAGCTGCACATTATACTGTCAGCGTAGTCCAGTCAGGCAGTTCCCATATTGTGCAATGTTGGCACAGGAACCAGAATCTTCAAAAAAGAATTTGTCTGGACTTGCAGGTCCAGGCTAAGTATAATCCAAGCCTTTGCTCCCTTATTCATTCAGTTTGGACTAATGCCAAAAGATTTCTGGAACTTTTTATTGTATGCCAGTAAAGAAGTGATAGGTGTAACCCTGTTGTGGTTTTTTAGTATCTCATTAATCTGATCAGCTTGGGAGGAATCATTAGACTAAAACCACAGTGTCCTCTGTAAAGGAATGGGGAAATGTGCTGCCAAGGCTTGTCTGTGGCATTTGCCATGGACTGGCACAGACCTTCTGGCTGCTTTTGAGAATTCCAGCAGCAGGAATTACATCCCTTAAACTCACGAGTATTTCTGCATGAATGAGTGCAAACTGTTGAACTTGGGAGTGGTTTCAGAGAAGTTTCGTGGCTGCATTGCTGTGCCACTTAACCCTTGCTGCTATTTTCACTCTGGCTTTTTGTGGGGTAACGTGGCTGCCTGATTCCTGGGCTAGAGTTAGGTCACTTCCAGCATTTTAGAAGGGCAGACAGTGCAAACATGATACTGCTCAAATGCACCCATCCCTGAGTGTTGACAGCTGTTCATGGATTGGACACAAACAGAAATGTGTGCACAATATCCTTGAAAATATCCTAGTGTCTGTAACAGCCACTGTTGTCTGAACAAGTTTTTCAGGAAATCACTGAAGCCAGATAAATCTGTAGAAACTGGAATCTATGGGCTGAGGAAATGCCTCTTTATGGGCCTGAGTGGTTATTTGTTGTTCTGAAATTTCTTCTTCTCTCTTTGACAAAGAACTGTCTGGTGATGAAGGACCAGGGGGAATTTTAGGTTAAAAAAAGAATCCAAGATCTCTTTGAAAGTCAAATGGAGTATCAGCATCATACAGCTCTGACTAAGTCTTTAAAAAATTTAGTTAAGATTTGGTTAAGACTTTTTCTTGAGGCAAAGCATATTTAATTATTGCTGTCAGAGCCCTCAAGAAGCATATGCAAGGAGAATATCCGTAGTTGCAATTTGCCAAGGAAAAAACCCCTATATTTCCAGAAATAATCCTCAAGTAGATACAGTTCAATATCTTGTTTTTTAGTCTCTAAGGGAAGTCTAAAAGAGGACATGATATTAAGATGGTCACATGTAAGAAGAGTATAATGAAAGCCTATCATGTGCAACTATTTAATTTGGCCCTTGATAGTAGAACGTGACAGCACTCAAAGATAAGAAACTGTTTTGAAATTGAATTGCAGTAGCATTTATACATGATGAATCATTTAAAGAAGGTTTATTATAGATTCCAATTAGTCTTGCCCCTTAGTTATAAAAAAGAGGGCACTTAAAGCTAAAAGAAAACCATTGTTAAATTAGGCAGATTTTTTTTTTAAGAAAATAGGTTACCTAAACAACATTTAATCAATTCATAGGAACCTCATGTCTACAGTTTATTATTGAAGCAAATAAATTAATAATTCTTTAGAAAGATGTCAGAATGAGAATAGTGAAAGTACTTAAATTAATTGAGATTATAGGAAGAATTAATTTTGTTAAAACCAAACTGTATTATACAGTTATTTGTGCTGTGAAAGTCATTTATGTTTTCCTCTCAGACATCAGCAATAAATAATAATTGGAAGCTGGATGCTGGAACAAATGAGAGAGGTGCCAATACTTCTTCTGCCCTTTCCTGAGCATTGTTTTTAAGTGGGCTGACTCCAAAGCTTGCTTGTGATTCTGAGGTTGAATCAGACTCCTTATAGGCTCTTACTGGCTTCAGTTCTGCTTGAGAAAATCTTAACCACACCTGAAGCCACCTGCTTGGACCAAAAAGTCCACCTCTAAAAGCAAGTACTGCTGAGCTCCTCATGCTTCTACATCAGGTGTGCACGCTGACTGTAATTGATTTGGTGTTAACACTTTATTTAGATTAAATCTTTGAGTAATGCCTGTGCTATCCCTTGGCATCTCTTTCTAATTTAATGTAAGACTCTTGAACACAGCAAAAAGATCAGTACACAGTCATATAACCAGAGAAGATTTATTAATATAATCCATTAATGTAATTATTATAGTAGTTTGATTTGTTTTTTCTTAGGTTGTATTTGATGTGAAGTTGAGGTATCAATGATTATATTGAAATGTGCTTGGGTTTTTGCATAGGTTCAGAGTGCTGTTTGGCAGACCAAATTAACACGTGACTTGTTCCCATCTATAACTTTTTCCAGTAGAAATTAGCTACTGCTTAGTCATAATCTGCACAGAATTCAGGGATCATGATGATTCAGTAAACAAATCTCATCACACTGTTAGGTAAACTGCATATCTCCATGGCTCTGGAATAGCTATTAAGGGAAAATTGTCTGTTCTTACATTAATTACTTAGAGTAGAAGTAAAATATGTCCAGAAACAGTTTGTTAAAAAAGGTTACTGCCAGCCTTATTTCATGCAGGACATTTATCTCTGGGTCAGGATCTGTGTGTCCTGCTCTTGGCTGCAGTTCACTCCAGAGTTACTTCACCTTGTCAGAATCCATCTGCACACAATAATCACTTCATGGAAATCACAAAATCTTTATGCCTTGATCCGAAATGTAAATGAAAAAAACCGCAATTAGAGAAGGAGAAACACTGGGCAGGGCTGCATGAATGGTTTGAATTACGGTAAATAGGCCATGCATGTGACTGGTCACTAACAATAATTTCATTTGGATCACCTAGAAAAAAGAAGAATGGAGAAGAAGAGCAGCCAAAGCCCTCTCTCAGTAATCAATACCGAATTGTTACACCCACATTCCAGTATAATATGGATTACAAGAAAGTTGGCAAATGTATTATTATAAACAACAAGAATTTTGAAGACAAAACAGGTAATGTTCTTTCCTTGATGATACTCATTACAGACCATAGAATTTTTATACTTTCTTTAATCAATAAGTATTCTGTTTTTAGGACATGGATTTTTAATGAATGTTTCTAACTTTTTTGATAAATAGTTGTTCCTAAAACTTTTCCTGTTCTCTAACACTTGTGTTAGAGTGGCTCTTTTCAACATCTTTTCAGTATATGTCTCAAAGACCATATCTCCTGGCTGTACCAACTTCAAACTAAACCTTTTTTCCAGAGTTTAAAACTATGTTGTTAAAATTTGAACTTTGGCATCTGCAACCCATGTTATAAATTCTCTGTCCCTGAGCTGCAGCTATGAGCTACAAAAGCTAATAGCTGTAGGTGTGTTCTGCTCACTCCTGCATTTAACTTTCCAGACCACATGTGGTTTCAAGGTAGACAAATACTTGTGTTATAATCAGGTTTGTAGGATTTTTCCTGTACACTTGGCAAATGCAGTACGTTGTTTTCCCCCAAAGATTCTGTATCAGTTCTTTTCACTGGGTATAATAGGGACATTGTTCAACAGGTTTTCCATGGGGTGCTTTGTGCCTGTGTTGTACTACACAACCAAAAGGAGATGGATCATCCTTAGAGGTCCTGTGTTGCAAGGTGCTGGGGGCACGCCAGTATTTTTCAGGATAAGATATGTGTTAACACTGGATGTAGCATTATTTTTGAAATCTCACAATTTGTTCTCCATGCTGCTAGAGGATTGTTTTAAAAACATGTCATCGAGACATTGTTTCAGTTTATCAATTTTAAACATTTGCCTTTGAACACGTGGATCATTTTGAGTTGTGTAACTTGCAGTCAACCATGTTCCTTGTTTTCTGGCAGGAATGGGCACACGCAATGGCACCGACAAAGATGCTGGAGATCTTGCTAAGAGTTTTAAAAACTTAGGGTTTGAGGTTTTTACATACAATGACCGAAGCCGTGATGATATGGAAAAATTACTGAAGCAAGGTAAAAATTCAGAGTAATTTAGAGGGATGGGGAACGGACCTTTGGAAGTCACTGAATCTACTCCCTGCTCACCTGTAGCAGGTTAAAGTGGAGCAGATTGCTTAGGCCCCACACACAATTTTCTATATGGAAGGATTTATTTTCTGAATGGACTGGGCTTAATTCCCCACCTCATGGCCCAACATCAGTTCAGAAGTGCACGGTGTTCTTGTGAAGCACTTGTGCTGTGTGTTTGGTGAAGAGCCTTGTCATACTAGATAAGGAGTTTAGCCCATTGATTCCAGTGGGCTGAGCTCAGGGTCAAGTGAAGGGTGCATCCATGAACTCAAAGTACTCATCATCACATTGTAAAAGATGATCCACTCCTTCTTATGCCTGACAGTATAGCCCAGTGTGTACTTAGCCTCAGAAAAATGTGTTTGCTAAATAAAATTTCCATTTAAAACGTAGCTGCTGAGGAGAACCACAGTGATGCTGCCTGCTTTGCCTGTATCCTCCTAAGCCATGGGGAAGAAGGGCTCATCTATGGCACAGATGGACCCATGGCTATCAAGAGTCTGACTGCCCTGTTCAGAGGAGACAAGTGTAAAAGCCTTATAGGCAAACCCAAACTGTTTTTCATTCAGGTAATAACCCTAAGGTAAATACAGTATCCTACTGCTGCAGCAGGGAGAACACACTCTGTTGGTTGTCTGCCCTAGAAAAACCCTGTAGCTTGACTTATTGAGTGTTGCTGGAGGTTTTCTGAAAAAAAAATGTGTTGAGAGAAGTTGTCTATGGGTAAAATTATTGTTTGTTTTTAAAAGATAATTTATATATGAGTTTCACAGGTGTAAAGAATATCATCATTGTAATTTTTGACAAGGTTTCTCTTGGTAATATATGAACTTCAAAGCAGAAAGATAAACTCACCTTTGTGCAGACAGAGCTAAGGACAGTACATGTTTTTCAATAGGAGTAATACTGTCCACATCTCTTTGAATTAAGGCTGTCTCTACAAATAACTGATAAAAGAAACATTTTTATTTTCCTCAGTAGCCTACTTTATATTGCATTTTTAAATTAGCATGTAATTAATTGTATATTAGTTAAACTTTTAAAAACAACTGTTTCAAACAGCATTAACTGAAATATCACGGGTCTGAATTCTCTTTTTTACATAATACATAGTATTATTTACATGTAAGAGTTGCAGCAGATGTGGTTTTCCCTAGGCTATTCCTTCAATTAATCCTCCTCCTCAAAGTGAAAACTCTTTTAGACTCTTCATAGTACTGAAGTGATGTTTCTTCTAATTACACGTTTGGAATGGTTACTTTATAGACTTCGAAATTATCTTAATAAAGACAGCCATCCCTGTTATATAAGCCAGTCAGACTTGTTCTTTTGCCAGAGCTGTCAGTCAAAGCTCCTGATCAAGAGCTGAAAATTACCCACCCAGACCATTGTCCCAGTGTTCCCTTTAGCTAAACCCATGATTAAGGGAAAATTAAGACTCAAAGAGATAAAATGGGAAAATATCAAAAATGCAATATACTTGTAATGGGTGTTCAAACATTGGAACAGGTTGTCCACACTATAGAGTCTCCACCTGTGGAGTTCACTGTCAAGAAATTGTCCAGGAGTCACACTGCACATGGTATTATGTAATATTTGAGTGTTGAGAATGCTTTAGACTGGTAAAATTAATCTTGGTTAGAATAAACCAACACTGACAAACAACTGAGATGCACAGCCTCAACACCTTTGCCTCCCTCTGCTTACAGAATGTATATTTGTAAAAGGGTAAGCTAGTAATATTATCACTGAACAATTAAATATCCCCCAGAATTGCATCTCTGCTTTTAATACATGCAAAGTACTGCTTAGAACTGAAGCCATTAAAAAGTTTTGATGGACAATAACTGTTTAATTGTTATAATGCCTTGTTTCTGCTTATTGGAAACATTCTCTGCTTTCAGGCCTGCAGAGGCTCTGAATTTGATGAAGGTATACAGACTGACTCTGGACCTGCCAATGACACCCTGGAGACAGATGCCAACCCAAGATACAAAATCCCAGTAGAAGCAGATTTTCTGTTTGCTTATTCCACAGTGCCAGGTAAGGAAAAGAGGGTCAGGATGGGGGTAGAAGGCTGAAAAATCCATAGGGACTGGACTGGAGATGGACCCTCACTGATGATACACTGATGGACAAAAAACAAAGGCCAGTCTACATTGGGTATCCACCCCTTCATCACGGGCTGTAGAGGAAAAAGGAGATTACAGATGGCAAAGGCAGTACTATTTTCTGTGAATCCTGCCCTTCCATGTCCTGGTGTATTGAATGTGTGACGAGGGCAGGAATAGTTACAGTACAAAACATACTCTCAGAAAGGAAACCTGTGTAATCTTACTTCTTGCAGATTCCCAAATGCCAAAATGTAGAATGGTAGTTAAGCAGTGTGAGGTTTGGAGAGTTAACATACATTATCCTCAACTCTAATGAAACAGGATATGTGGCACAACTGTTAAGAGTTCAGCTTTCTGTCTGTGCATTGTTAATCTTTGCCCAGAATATTCCACACAAAAAAGCAAATATAACTCCATGTATTTTCTTCCTTGTCTTTCCTGTCAGGTTATTACTCCTGGAGAAATCCTGGAAGAGGCTCCTGGTTTGTGCAGTCCTTGTGCTCTGTGCTAAATGAGCATGGAAAGCAGCTTGAGATCATGCAGATCCTCACTCGGGTCAATTACGTGGTGGCCACGAATTTCGAGTCCCAATCTGACGATCCCCGCTTCAGTGAGAAGAAGCAGATTCCCTGCGTGGTCTCCATGCTCACCAAGGAACTGTACTTCTGAAAGTGCATTTTAATGCAGCCCATGGTGAAAGGTCAGAGTATGGTTTTGGGTGGAGATGTGTTTGTAAACAGGAGTCAAACATTTCTAATAACAGAAATGTAATAAAACTAGATTGTTATGTTGTATAAGATGGGGTAACTGATGGATGGACAATATGCAATATTTTAGAGAAGCTGTGGGCCAGCCTGACAGTTATTACTAATTATTGTATCTTGGTTTCCATTAGTGTGACTGTCATGATTTATGGCTGCTGAAGATGTTATGAGTCAGCTACCTGACCCATAAAGTTTTTTCCCAGAAAGCAGATTGAAATTAAGAACAAAACAAAAATCTTGAGACTCCTTCTCATTCACTGCTATCTCATGGAACCATAACCTCCTTGGAAGTTTCCAAAGACCATCATATTATGGGTATGTCCAGTAATAAAACAGTTTGTAGCTATTTAAAAGGGTGTTTCTTAGTCTAATATATTAATTTCCTTTTAATGAACATTATTAATGAAGGCTAATGGTTGCTCTGTGCTCAATCTGGAAGTCAGTTTGCTTAGGCATCATTCTAGCATAAGATGAATGTATAAAAATTAGTACTTTAGATTATTTACCTGAAAACTACAGAAATGTAATAAATCAAACAATGACAATTAAAATCTTTGTAAAGAATTGGCAAATTTTACTTGGATGATACCATATTAAAGTGCCATTGTAAAGATATTTTGCCTTACAAATGACAGTTGACTGAGAGAACAATCTGAAATGGTGGTATTGCAGTTCTTCTGCTTGCAGAAATAAAAATGTCTGCTTGATTCAGAACTTTTGAACCATAAGAAAATGACAAGGCTTTATTATAAAACATTAAAATTTAATGTCGAAAAGGTAGAATTATGTGTTCCAGTAACAATGGATGTTTAGATTTAACTTGTAGTTGTGAGGAGTTTTGCCAAAACTGGAAATGCTTACTTGAATCAGAAACCAGAAGTGCCTTCTTAGTTACTGTACGGTCTTGATTTTGTGTTTTAGAGTTATGTTGGTGATGTTTATATTTCTACTTTTTATATTCACTTTAGTTGGTAGCTAGGTCAAAAAAGTAAGTTTAATGATTTGGTTAAACTGATAAAGAATCACCCTTTTCCCAGTTAATGTACTCTCCTTGCAATCTTCTGAGAAAATAAGTGCATGGTATTAAAGCCAAGTTACCAAATTGTTAGGTTTATTTTCTTACAAATACTGTGACGTAGTGAGATATATATATTTTTTTTTCATAAGTCAAATTTACATTTGCTTGAATTAAATAAATGGTGCTTTATGGATATATTGAGCATGATATCAATAAAGACCTTTTTTTAAAAATTTCCTTTGTTTATCTGCATGTTTATGACTTGATCAGGTAAAAACCAACCAAGATGTACCCCAGTCCCTTTCTGTTTAAGGAGTGCAGGTGGTGTCTGGCATCTTTTCAGGAGGACGTTTACAGTGTCAGTGGAAAAGTGGATTAGAAAAGTAATTTGGCATTGGGTGACTTGGGTTGGACAGGCCACGTCCTCTCCTGGAGTAAACCAGAGTTAATGGAAGTATTTTATTGGAAACATGGTGTTCTACCAGTGCTTAATCTTGCCCTTTATGCAGTAAATTGTGCAGGGCTCTAGCAGTGCATGTGAAAGTGCTCTCCCTGTTGCTTCTGCCAAACAGCTCCATCTTAAGCTATTTTCTGGCATTAAAGATATTCCTGGTTTACCATGGCCAGCCAACATTTCAGTATTTGTTACTTCTCTGGAAGCTCTTTCGTATCTTTATAATTCATGAGTGTTTATTTGCTTGAAGTTTAGCCTGTTTTTAAATTTCCATGAACGATATTTCCCCATCTCCAGAACTATCCTTCAGGCCAGTTCTAATATACGAGATATGAAAAGATCAGCATAAAATACCAGAATACACTGCCAGAGAGGAAAGTAACATGGAAAGATTAACTTAGAGCTTCAGAAACGAAGGAGAGAAAAAGATCCTGTTGTGTCAGGACCAGGATCACTGCTAGATTAGCATTACTTCAGATCATGTCCAGAAAAAATTAATGTTATTTCAAAAGAAAATTGTGTACCAACAGACATCACCCCTGAGCAGTGATACTGCCATAGCTGAGAGCTGTGCCAGCCCATGAGCCTGAAGGAGCCCACGCTGAGTGAGGAAGCTTGACCCTTTCACTCGACAGAGCCAGGATGCTGAATAGCGATTTAAAAGCTGCAGGATGTTCTAGCTTTTTTCCCTCATCAAATTAATGACTATTTTTTTAATCAGAAATAAATTCCCTTGCCATCTGCAGGATTAGACAGATGGTTTAGTGTGTAAATCCACTTTTGTTATTGACACACTGAATGTTTCTGGAGAATCTCAAAAATTCACTTACAGCCAAGACTAACACTGAAATTACCTTGGCATGACATAGGCAGCATAAGAAATCCTGATTCACCATTGCATGTTTAACTAAATGCTGTTTGAATCTGAAGTTGGTTTCAGCTTATGGCACTTTTATCATCTTTTAGGGTTCTTCTCACTTTGCTTTATATTCCAGCCATGGGTGGATATTGTGCTTTAGAAACAGCTTGGGAAACGAAAGGACTGTTCAGAAAGCTGAACCAACAAAACCACACTGTCTCCAGGCTTTTTTTTCTGTAGAGGAGACATTTATCACTGCCTCAAATGTGCATGTTTTTCATTGCTTCTAAGTGAATATTAATCTTCTGGATTTCCCCTTTCCAAAGCAGTCTTTAGTTTGCTTCCCATGCAGAAAGAGGAATTTCCTTGTGGGTCATATTTCAGGGTGTTTGTATTTATACATGGACTATAAGAGGGCAGTCACCCTGCAGGACAGGGACACATCATGTTTTGCTGCAGGAGGCAGTACAGGAAATCTGGATTTACTTGAGGGTGTATTTCTCTAAAACCTTCTTCACCATGAAGACATTTTGCTTGTAAGTATTAACACAGTTTGTTTTCCTTATCTTGGAAATTTTTGAAGTTTTATAATAGCTTTCATCGTAATGATTTGAGGCATTTTATTTGCGTTTTGACTGAAGTGTCTCATTGCATTTCAAAAGGTTTGAAGCAATCAAATCCCTTAATGCCTGGCATTCAAAAATCTGGGGGGGTATAATCACGGATTTGGCATTTTCTATTTTGAATTAGACATAACCTGTTTACAATGTCTCTTACTGTTGAAAAGACAATTAAATATAACAATTAAAAACTTTTTTCCCAAAAGGCAGAGTGAGGTAGCACAACTAATCTCATGGGAATTTGTTTTCCCACGTGCAAATCTTGACTTTTACTGACATCCTGAAGAGACTTTTATCCTGTCAGAGACTCTTGGAACGCTGTTTTGTAGTAATTGCATCGTTTGCCAGTTGAGGTGACTGTCAGTCACATTGAACAGAACAATACATTGCCTTTCATTGCAACCCCAGGTGTGTGCCCCTACTATTGACTTTGTGTACAGTCATTTTTAGTTTTGGAAGTTACTTTTTTGTCCTTTTATTTTTCTGGTAGGCAACAGATGAAAACTCTAGAAGCAAATTTTATAATGGTTTATCACGGCATTAGTACAACAAAACTTTCTCCCCAAAAGGAAAAAAATGCAAAGGTTTCCCTGAAAAAAACCTCAAAAAAGTAATGTGCAGAAACCTCTGATGGACCTAAGTTTGCAGTGGGTCATTCCCATTTACAGCCTAGAACAGGAGGAATGGAAGTCTATAACTTCAGTTGTGTCTCAGGGGTAAAATTCCATGTGTAACCCACCCCATTATTGACCACCCTCCTCCTGCCTGTACCATGTTTACTTTTGGCACCATGGAGTAAATCACCAAAGAAACAGAAACGGAGGAAAGCCCTTAAATCTCTCACTGCAGCCAGGGTTCTCAGTAAAGAACCAGAGAGGAGCACTTGTAATCCTTCAGATTTTCCCAGGAGAGGCTCTGTGTAACCTCCTTGTAGGTAAAACAACTTCCAGCCAAGATCTGGTTTTGCAGGGAGTGAGAGTTTTGAGGTAAGGCAAAGAGAAACTTTTGACAAGGCATTGTATTAATAGGACAAATTTGCAAATTCTTGAAATTGCTGTAGTATTATAATTGTATTTTCTATGCATATTTTACACTCTTTAGGCCAAGTTATGCCAATTTTATACAGGACTGATCGTACTGGCAAAGCAGTGTTAGAAACATACATGGATGAAGTATTCTTAGGTTACAGGTGGTGTGACTAGTGCAAAAGAAAGAGCCAAATGAAGTTCTCTTGACAGATTTCATCCCTTCTAGGCAAATCATCTTTTTGGCCTATAAAATTGGATAATATTTGTTATTTGTAATTTTGTGATAGTATTATAAAATAACAAATATAGCATATAGTGTATCATTTAATATGATACAATGTTTTATAAATATATTTAAATTAATTGTTATTATGGCTATTTTATGTATTTTGATCATCATTATGAAAATTAACAGTTGTAAGATTTTTGTTATTTTCTCAACAGCAATTGTGTGTGCAGTGAAATGCTGCTCAGCAGAAAGCCAGCTGAAAGGAATTAGTTTCAACATTTTTGCTCTTTTTGTTATGTGGGTGGAAGAAACAATCAGGATGGCTTCTACAAGTAAAAGAAATTCTGCAGGTACAAAATTTCTCCTACTAAAATTAGTCAGTAGTAAAGCTGTGAGATGATCTATCCTTAGCTGAATGCCATCTATGAATTTCTTTAGGGGTACATTTCAGATCAATAATTATGAAGCAAAATAAGACCAGACCCCAAGAGTTAAATTAGATCTTAAATAAGACAGCAGCTCATGATATCTTCTGAGCCTCTACATTTTCACTACCTTTACTTTACAGTCTGAGCCAGTTGTCAGCATTAACATCAGAGATGCAGGACCTGGCTCTATATTTTATGGCCTTGATTTGTGTTTGTCTTATGGCCATTTAAGCACAGAAACACAGTGCTAAGCAACAATTTCCAGTTCAAAGAGGTCTTTTTAAAAAGATTAATTGGCAGCAAGTTAAGTAATGGTGCTGTTCATTTCTCTTTGATTAGTGAGAATTCAAAATACATTTTGCCCTGAAGGTGGAGTCTGCAAGCATGGATTCCTCATCAAATCCCCACCTCTTCAACTTCTCAGCTCACAGGTATACTAGAACAGATTAGTCATATTTCAGCAATCCCTCATACTTGCTATCCTGAATTTTAATGAGACACAAATTGCTTTCTCTTTGGCAGAATTCCTGGAAAAGGCGTCTTTTTGTCCTGTCCAAATCCAGCAGAGGGAATTACATCCTGAAGTATTTAAAAGGCCAACACATAAAAGGCTCCATAGCTGTTGATCAGTATGTAGCTCAAGTGCACCATCTTTTTTATTTTAAGTCATGTATCAGCACTCTTCAGTGGCCACTGATTGAACAAGCATTTGTTCCTGACTGAACAAGTCAGGATTAGGTTCCTGACTCAAACCCAGTGAAGTCCACAGAGGAGTCCCTTGGGATTTGTGGGCTTTGGGTGCAACTATGACATACGTAGAAGTGAAAATCCTGAATTGCTTTATTTTAATTTACATTGTGTGAGTGATTGCTGTGATGTAGCTGCCAGTGAGGTACCTGGCTTGGCTGCACGCTCCCACGGGCTGTGCTCCTGCAGTACTGCACATTTTACCTCCTGTGAGGACAGTGCTATGCATTCAATCACATCTGAATAAGGACAGGCTGTGCCACTCTCAACTGTGGCATACACCTTTTCGCACCTTACAGCTTCACAAAGTGCTTTGCAGGTTTGTGCAAAGGTCTCCTGACTTTCTCATAGCCGTTTGGGCTGATTATGGTTGCTCTCTGCTTCTCATTCTGCCAAGAAATTGCTTGGCTCGTTTGTGTTGGTGATTTCCTTCCTGTCAGCACAGTGCCTGCTGCAGCAAGACTGAGTGTCACTGGCTTTGGGCTGGCACCCTTTACCATGTCCTACCATGTGGTATAAGATATGTGCAAGGGAAACAGAAAGCTTAATGGAAAATGTAAATATTTTCCTGTCAGATCTAGAGGTTAATACTCCAGGCTCCCTGAACTGTTAGGCATGGAGGTCACTCACCACATTGCTGTTGTGTTTCTTCCATTAAAAGGATTTACACTGTGAAGCTTTCAAAAATATAGCAGCTTGTTCAGTGGTCTGTGGTTACATTATTACCATAATTATTGTTGCTATTACCTTTATTAATTTGGCTTCTTGGAAGTTAATGGAAGTAGTGCTCCAAGTGCTTCAAGTATCCATTAG